ATCCCATGCTCAAGCAAGAGACCCTATACCATTTCAAAAAAGTGACTGTCTAGTCTCTCTTTAAAAACTTCCAGGAATGAAGCACGTACAACTTCTGATGGTAAGCTGATCCTCTGGTTAATTGTCCTCAATATTAGGAAGTTTCTCCAGATTGCTTCTCTCCTTGTTAGTTTCCATCCATTGTTTCTTGTCCTGCCCTCTGGAGCTTTGGGAAATCAGTTGACTCCCTCCTTTTTATGGCAATCTCTCAAATACTAGAATACTGCTATCATGTCAGCCCTAGTCCTCCTTTTTTCTAGACTAGCCAAATCCAAATCCTATAACATTTCTTCATATGATTTAGTCTCCAGGTCTTTAAACATCTTAGTTGCTTTTCTTTGCACTTTTTCCAAAGTCTCAACATCTTTTTGTAATGTGGTGACAAAAACTGGATGCAGTATTCCAGGTGTAGTCTTAGTACGGATTTATAAAGCAGTACTAATAATTCATATGATTTTGATTCTATGCCTCTGTTTATACAACCAAGAAATGTATTTGATTTTTTTGGGCTGCTGCTGCACACTTCTGGCTCATGTTTAAGTGATTATCCACTAGGACTCCAGGTTCCCTCTCACAGTTACCATTTTTGAGCCAGGTTTCACCTAACCTGTACTTGTACATTTGCACCTCCCATTCAGATCTAGGGAGCAGGTTGCCAAAGATCCTGCTTTGGCAGCAACATCAGCTGTTTATTGGCAGGAAAAACACATCGACCCACCACGCAACATGCCATCTTGGGGGAAGTTCCTCTTGGGGGAAATTATTTTGTGTTAATATTTATAACCAATGAATGTTATAAATATTTTTGCAATTTTTTTTATAAGCTAATCTTAGTTTATGAGCTAATAATCATCATGTTTTATAAATTCTTTTGAAATTTGATGACACATTGAAATTTATCAAATTTACCTTTAAGTTTATCAAATGTAATTAAGGAATTCCAAAAATAATTTTAATATTAAATAATACTAGATAAACTTTAATTTTTAAACTCATTGATGGGGTTAAATCAATTTAACAACCGGTTCTCTACCGTAATGACCATTTTAAGTATAAAAAACAATATACCGAAAATTAATTTATTATTTCATGCATTTAATACTTAAATATGAGATACACAAAAATAAATTATGTTATAAGAAAGAGTTTTAAAATATTAATGAAAAATATTAAGTAATACCTGGCACACATGTAGAAATCAAGCTAGGGTGGGGGTGGAGGGTGGAGCTGCCCCAGACGCCCTGCACCCGCTTACCTTAGGACTGCTGTAGCCAGATCTCCCATGCCCCGACACCTGTTGCGCCACTACCTGAGTTATTCTGCAGCTGATTGTGGCCGCACGCCACATGGTGCATCGTGCAGCAACCATTGCTCATGTCTGCAGGCCTCAAGGCTCATCACACTGATTGTGCTCCTTCTGCCGCTCATGACTGCAGGCCTTGAGGCTCATTATACTGTCCTAACTGCCAAAGTCCCACCATTGAGGATATAAGCGGTTCCTAAAAGAGAGGCTAAAAAGTTGGGGTTGGTGGTGGGGGGAAATGAAGTTGTTTCCAAGAAAAGGGGAAGGGCTTACAAACCAATCAGGCTTTTGAAACTAGTTCGCCAAACTAAACAAAAAATTAGGTAATGATTCTGCTGAACCGATGCAAACCAGCTGAATCTCACCACTGGGTTAAATAGAATTTATTTAAAATTTGAAAGACATATTTATCTCTGTATCACTCTTTGCACAACCTTAAAACATAAAACAATTTCACAAATAATAATGGGGATAAAGGACATCCTTGTCTAGTTCCTTTTTCAATTTTAAATGCTTCCATTACCCCCCCATTAACTATAATCTGTGCTGACTGCTATTGATAAATGGCCTTAAGAGCAGAAAAAAATTTTTCCCCAAAATTCATTCTATCTATAACCTGAAACAAAAAACCCCAATCTAATTGATCAAATGCTTTTTCAGCATCTAAAAATATAAAAGCAGCCGGAATTTGGTTGTTCATATCCAAATATTCCAATAAGTTAGTAATCTGTCTTACATTATACTTCATGTATCTTCCATTTATAAACCCAGATTGATCACTATGAATCATTTGGCACAACACTTGCATTAATCTATTTGCCAATACTTTTGAAAAAATCTTGTAATCTATATTCAATAAAGATATAGGTCTATAATTCTTAGGTTGCGTCAAGTCCTGACCCTCCTTTGGTATTAAAGCTATAAAAGCAGTCCTCCAAGTAGAAGGTACCTCCTTGCCCAGCAATATACTATTAAACAGTTCCTGTAAAGGTTCTATCATTTCTTCAATTAATGTCTTATAGTAAACCGCTGTAAATCCATCTGTACCTGGAGCTTTACCAACCTTTAATTGTTTAATTGCTCCCTTAATCTCCTCAACTGTAATTAAACTATTCATTTTTTCCCTTTGATTATCAGACAATCTAGGAAAGTGTGCCTCCTGTAAGTACTTATCTATTTCTCCAATTTGTATTTTCTCCAAGGCATACAACTTAGAATAAAACTCCAAAAAACTCTTCTTAACCAAATTTTGTTGAAATGTCACTTTACCATTATAGTCTATTTTCTCTATAATTCTTGATTTCTGTTTTTTCCGTAGTTGATAAGACAACCACCTTCCAGGTTTATTTGCATTACAAAATGTATTATATTTCATATACCTTAAACTAGTTGCTGTCTGGTCAGCTATTAACATATTAAATTGTTCCCTAAGCATAGTTATAGATACTTTTAAATTATTATCCAACGGATTTAAAATAAAAGCCTGTTCTTTCGATTTAATCTTCTCCTCTAAGTCTTTTCGTTTTTGTGCTTGCTTTCTCTTATGAACCGTATTCATAGAAATCAAAATACCTCTCATATAGGCTTTGCTAACATCCCAGACTATTGAAATTGGAGTACCTTTATGCATATTTAACAAAAAAAATTCTTTCAAATGACCCTTACACTTCTGCACATTTATATCATATCTAAACAAATTTTCATTCAATCTCCATGATCTTATCTTTCCTTCTTCACCAAATAATTCCATCCACACCGGACTGTGGTCAGACAATGTCCTAGGAAAGATCTTAACATTCTTCACCCTGGAAAGAAAGTCATTAGTTATCAAAAAAAAAAAAATTCTCAAATAGGATTGGTTCCTATCCGAGAAAAAAGTATAGTCTTTCTCGTCCATATTCCGTTCCCTCCATATGTCCTCTAGTTCCAATTCCTCTTTCAAATCAAAAAAAGTTTTGGGCAATATTGAATTGAAAGCTTTGCAGGAACCTTTCTTATCTTTTCTTGAATCTAAGACACCATTCCAATCTCCCATCATAATAACAGATTTGTAATCCATTTGATTTAGCTTCTGATGTATCAATTTATAAAACTGTTTCTGCTGTTGATTTGGGGCATATAATCCAATAATAAGACATTTCTTCCCGTTCAAAAGCATTTCAATAAAAACATATCTTCCTTCTGGGTCAAAATCAATCAGTTTAGGCAAAAACTCATTCTTAACATAAATAACTACTCCACCTTTTTTCTGGGGCACAGGTGCAATAAAATGTGTTCCCAACTGTGAATTAATCAAATACTTTTGATCTTTTGCTGTAATATGAGTCTCTTGCAAGCAAATAACATCATTTTTATGTTGCTTCAAATAATAAAATACCTTTTTTCTTTTCTGCAGTGAATTCAAGCCATTAACATTCCATGTCAGGAACCTTGCCATCCTTAGTGGCAGAGAGCCTCAGGAACGCCCCTTGCAAATCAGCCGACACTGATTTCTTTGGTCTCGCTCCTCCCACTGGCTCTGAAGTTGCTTGATGCTCTGTAGGTACCTCATCCACTCTTCGTTGCTCTCTTTCTTTACGTCTATGAGCTGCACGGGTCATTCTCTGTGATTTTGGATTTGATCTTGTAAATTGGTAATACTTGATGATGATGTAGCTCCTTGAGTATCTTTATCTTCTTGAATTCTTTCCTTCCTAATACCTTGTGGAGATGCTGATGGGCCTGCTTTCAAAATTGAACTGTAAAAATCTTTTGCTTTTGCCACCGTATTAAGCCGATAACGCACGCCCATATAATTAACCATTATACCAGCTGGTATCTCCCATCTGAATTGTATTTGTCTCATTTCAATTCTTCAGCCAAAAAAGCAAAGTTCTTTCTTCTTCTGAGTATCTTGGGTGGTATTTCTTTTAAAATTATCACATCTTGTCCTAAAATTTGAAATCTCTGTTTATAAATAGCTTGAATAATTTCATTGCGGATTGATTTTTTTGAAAAGTAAACAACAACATCTCTTGGAAGGTTTCTCTGTCTTGCCACCCATGAATTAACTCTAAAAATTTTTTCCATTTCTCTCTTAATCTCTTCAGGTTGGCAGGACAAAACCGAGGCTAGTTCTGTTACAATCTCCTCCTCCAGTTTTTCTTGGGCATTTTCTCTCAACCCTCTTATTCTCAATGCATGTTCCATTTCTCTAAATTGTGACATAAGAATCTCATTCTGATTTATATCAGTACTCTCTTCCACTTTCCCCATTCTGATCTCCAAAACTTCAACATGTTCCTCCACATCTTCCACCCGCCCTGCAATGTGGTCTACATGATCAGCCAGGCCTTGCAGTGCAAACACTATATCATCTCTCAGCTCAACATTTTTTTTCCTCAAGTTTTTCCTCAAGTTTCTTTTCAAACAGCTCATCCATTTCACATCTAATCTGTTTGGCAGTGTCCTTTAAGGCATCTTGTAAATCTTTCAGTGTTAAAGCTGGCATTGGAGGAGAAGGTGGGGGAGTAGGTTTTGTCTGCTGTGATATCTGAACAGCTGGAGAGGAAGAGCTCAAGCCTTTCTGAGGAGGGAGAGTTCCCCCACGCTTTGAAGCCATTTTACTTTCTCTTCCCCTCTTCTCTAATTTAATTTATATAATATAATGTCCAATAAGATTTTCTTAGAACTGCCACAAAAAGCAGAAGCAGATAGCTTGCCCACCAACAATACAAGTGGATCTAATACAATAGTAGTCCAGCAGAAAGTAAAAGCAAAATTGAAAGTCCTCAAAAAGTGAAAGTCTCTGTTAAAGAGCAAAACGCCCTTCCACGGCCATTTTGTTTCCTTTCTTCTTAAACTTTAAACATCAATGGAGAAGTTATTAAATTCAGAGCTAAAGGCTCAAATCCTTGCAGCTCCCAAACACCTGGATCGCTCTGTCCGCTCACAAGAAGTACTCACAATCTCCCATAAGCAGAGGTTGAATCCGCGTCTGGCTTCGTTCAGTGGAACGGAGGCAGCCCGAAGCCTGGAGAAGTCCCTGGCTCCGGGGGAACTCACCTCCACCCCCACAGCTATAAAACTGTGAGAGCTCGGGAGTTCTACCCCTATCAGGGATGCTCTCCCCCCTCCCCTTTGCCCGGGGAAGGGGATTCCAAGCCGCGGAGCAGCTGTTTGGCGCTGCTCCTGCGGCTTTTACGCGTCCTCGGGGCGGGCGGCAAAGAGAAAAGCCGCCATCGGCGCCGGAATTCAAACCGGAAGTCCGCTAGAATTCAAACCGGATAATTTAATTATTCATTATCTTTCCTTTTTTAATTTGTTAGTTAACTACTTAGAATTACTATTTAAAAATCTAAATTGTAGTGATAATTTTAATAGTTTTTACCATTGCGTGTAAATGTGATTATTGTCAGTTGGGTATTGTTAATCTCCACATCTGCAGTTTTATTCAACATTTTTCATCTCTTTTCAATATGATACCTACTAGCTCTAGAACCATCACCTACTTATAGATCTCTTTCAAATGTTTCATAATATTTTACAATAAATTCCTTTTTATTTAAATAACTTTGAAAAATATATTTCCTTTAATTATTTAATTATATTTAGTTAGTTGCATTATAATTATTTAATTATAATTAATTATTTGCATTATCCAACCGTAAGAATGGATAGTTTTCAATGTTCTGAGCAAAACTGAAGTGCATTTTGAGTCCCACTGAAATAATTTCAGCACTAGGAAAAGGTCTGTGTGTCTGAGGTTGCCTATATAATTGGTAGAAATGAAAAAAAGAATTCAGTCTGGAATAGTTTTGATAATGTGACTGATAAAAAAACTCAAATTCTTGCAACTGGAACTCTTTATTTGTAGAACAACAATCAACCATGATTTTTCAACTTCTTTTTCAAATATATGATTAATATTTTGCTTCCTTCATTTATCAGCCAGACCATACCTGTTTCTGTGTGTACTGAGAGCTGCCTACCTGGATATTTTAAGAAAAAGCAGGAGGAGAAGCCTTTTTGTTGCTATGATTGCCTCCCATGTCCCAAAGAGAAAATGTCCGGCCAGAAAGGTAAGAGACATTCTAACCAAATTTCATTATTGTTCTGCAGGTCACCCCAAACAGATCCATGAACATATAAGTATTATATTTTTATCAATTAGGATATTTTTAGGATTCCCCAACCCTTTCAAAGAAAGACCTCAGGCAGAGTTAAGGGTTTAAAGGTTTTTGCTGGTGGAAACTGTAAAGTCTTCATATGAGCTGGGGCCTAAGTGACCCAGAATATATCATTTCCAGGGTACATTGATTTGTTTTTGGATTTATCTAAACCTTTTATATAGAACTTCCCTTTAAGAATATATTTAAGTGTTTTACAAAATTCAAAGGAATTAATAGACTTGATTTTTTTAAAAAAAGGTTCTTCTCATTTAGTGGCCACAATTGGGACTTGCCAGTCAGTCATTAAGTAAAGCAACTGTTCTTACAATGTTATTTTATTGTAAGAACTTTTTTCTATAGACCTGCAAATATAGGTCATCAATGAAAGAATCAGTGACAAAGTTCCTTTTTTATTACTATTGTAACTGGGAATGACTGCTAAACAAGGCAGTCACTAAATAATGATTATCTGTAGCCCTTTCCCCATCCCTCCGTTCTTTACAATGCTGGGATAATTAGCAAGAGACTTGATATTTGTATTTACATTCAATGGAGAGAAAAGGAATATAAGAGCAATAGCAGGCAACAACATGGAAAGGTAGACAGTTGAACTGGTGACTTGCCTAGTATAGTGGTTGCTATGAGCCAGGGGCCACCTGGGGTAAAACAAAAGTCTTTAGTGTTGAACTGATTAGGATCTCTCAGTGTAAGGCAGCAGTATGAGCCATGTGGATATTTCTAATCAACTACTTAAGGTCCAGAGTTGGTTAACAGTTGCAGGACTGCGGGAATGGGCAGCTTCTTCAAACAATGATTCTGCTCTGAGTAGGAGGAGGTGAATGGGTCAGGCATAGCATCAACTAACTGTAATGGCAAACATATGTCTGAAAGACATATGCTGCAAAGATTGTACACAGTTACCTTTTTATCACTGTCCTAACTTTTAGCAGTCACTGTCCAGGGCAGTTGCTAGATGAGAAACCTTTTTGTTTCTGGGATTATAGTCTCCCTTAAAAAAATATTACTTTAACCTTTGCAAAATCTTTTCTACTTTGTTATGAGGCCTAGTGACACAGTGGTTAGAATGCAGTACTGAAGGCTATTTCTGCTGACTGCCAGCTGACAGCAGTTTGGCAGTTTGAGTCTCACCGGGCTCAAGGTTGACTCAGCCTTCCATCCTTTCAAGATTGGTAAAATGAGGACCCAGATTGTTGGGGGTAATATGCTGACTCTGTAAATCACTTAGAGAGGGCTGTAAAGCACTGTGAAGCAGTATATAAGCAGTATATAAGTCTAAGTGCTATTGCTATTGCTATTAAGAAAGGTTCAGAAATTTTTCATGTAAAGAGAATAAGGGATTCGTTTCTTCTTTTTCCTTCAGTAAAATTGTATTCATTACATTACATTAATTTCATACAGAAGTATACAGATAAATCATTTCAAAGGAAGACAGTGTTGAAGATAGATAAGATAAGATAATCTTTATTGCCATTTTTTACTGTGGGCCCACTGTCACACATTAAAAATGAAATTCTGTTGCCTGCTCTCAAAAGTGTACACATACATAGCATACATACAAATATGCTATATACATACATATGTATGTACATATACCTATACCCTTACGTATAAATACATATACATATTAATCACTGTCCATCTTGAATACGTAACGGAAAGAGGAAACTTGAGGGTTCAAGTTTGGAACAAAACTGTGGCTGAATCTGGATGTTCTGCTTTGGATACCATGAAGCCTCCTCCCAGAGGGTAACGAGGAAAACAGACCATGAAGGTAGTGTCCCCGACAATACTGCAGACCCTGCTCAAGCAATGCTTATATGTTATGTCCTGGATAGAAGGGAATGAACTGCCAATGATCTTTTCTGCCATCCTCACCACTTTCTGCATCACCTTCTGTTCTGATGCAGTAATGCTTCCAAACCAGACAGTAATGCAATATGACAGGATATTCTCGATCCTCCCTTTATAAAAAATGGTAAGGACAGGGGAAAGAAGATGTACTTTTCTCATGTGACATAGAAAATGCAGGTGCTGCTGTGCCCACTTCACCAGTGTCTTAATGTTGAGTGACCAAGCCAGCCTACTCATTAGCAGCACACCCAGAAATTTGATGCTGCTAAACATCTCTACAGGTGAATCGTTAATACACAGAGTAGTGTGGCTGTGCCTGCTTTTACTGAAATCAACAATGATCTCTTTAGTTTTTCCAACATTTAAAGCATTTCCAACATTTATTACACTAGTTCACCAAACCCTCTACCTCCTTGCAGGCATGGTTGATATAGCAATAAAACCAAACAAATAGAAACCTCAAAATTTGAAGCATAAGTATTAAATAAGCAATAAATTCATTAGGAAATAACATTTTCCCATATTCTCGAGTGTTCCCTTACTGTATGACTCACATACAAGAGTAAAAAGTAAGATAGATAATGTCAGGGCCAATCCTGCTTCCATAAACAACCTATGTGATGATTCTAATAATAGTATGATTAATAAACAAATGTTTATAAATGTATACATTTAAATTGTAGATATGAATGACTGTTTAAAATGCCCCGAAGATCAATATCCAAATAAGGACCAAGATTCATGTATTTTGAAGAAAATATCTTTCTTGTCCTATGAAGAGCCAATAGGAATAAGTTTAGTTACTCTTGCACTTTTCTTTACTCTCTGCACAACTGTGGTACTCGCAACATTTTTGAAGTATCACAATACTCCCATTGTAAAGGCAAATAACCAAAACCTCACCTACCTTCTACTCATCTCCCTCATCCTATGCTTCCTTTGTTCATTGCAGTTTCTTGTTGTACCAGGTAATATAATATGTCTTTTCAGACAAATTAGCTTTGGTATCATCTTCTCAGTGGCTGTTTCTTCTGTTTTGGCAAAAACCATCACTGTGGTTCTGGCTTTCATGGCCACTAAGCCAGGATCCAGGATGAGGACATGGGTGGGAAGAAGACTGGCTACCTGCATCATTCTTTTTGGTTCCCTGATTCAAGCAGGTATCTGCATGGTGTGGCTCTTCACATTTCCCCCTTTCCCTGAAATTGATACCCATTCAGAAATTGAGGAACTCATACTGCAATGCAATGAAGGCTCAGCTGCCATGTTCTACTGTGTCCTAAGTTACATGGGCTTTCTGGCAACTGCCAGTTTCACAGCAGCATTTTTCTCCAGGAAGCTCCCCAGCAATTTCAATGAAGCTAAATATCTCACCTTCAGCATGCTGATCTTCTGCTGTGTGTGGCTCTCTTTTGTTCCGTCCTACCTGAGCACCAAAGGGAAATACATGGTGGCTGTGGAGGTTTTCTCCATTTTGACTTCTACTGCTGGATTGTTGGTCTGCATATATTTCCCCAAATGTTACATAATTATTGTTAGGCCAGAGCTAAACAAGAAGGAACAATTAATAAAGAGAAAATATTAATAATACACAAAGAAAAATTCCTATTTCTATTATTTCTGTCTTTTAATATCTTTTCTTTTAAGTTCCTAAACTTTAAATCACTGATTTTGGAAAGGTAGCCGAAAGTTTTTTTGGTCTATGAGTAAAAGCTGGTCAGTTAGCCTTCTTGAATCAAAATTGAAACTCTGAGAAATGAAGAGGGCATATGTTTATTTAAAGAAGCAACTTCGGTTCTGAGAAAAAAATGACTGGATTGAAGTTACTTAAAGAAAAATGTCTTATGAAATGCTTCCTCAGATTCTAGTCAATGAAGTTTTAGCTGTGAAAGTGGATAGGTGTGTCCATTTGTCCAATGGAATTTTGCAAACCACAAACTTAATTAAGTCATATGTCCACTACAAAGGAAGTTAGTTCATTTAATCTTAAGTGAACATATCAGTAAAGTCTACCTACCATGTTTCCCTGAAAGTAAGTCCTCCCCCGAAAGTAATCCCCAGCTTGATTTTCAGGGATGGGCCTAATATAAGCCCTCCCTCAAAAGTAAGCCCTACTTAAGAGCCTGAGCAGCCAGCCAGCCACCGATTCTGTCTGGTTTCTACCATAGACACAAGGTAAGGGAGGTAACTGCTAGTGCCTCTGTGACGAGGCAAAGCCGGTAGGGGAGGGAGAATCTAACCTATGGTATACCTTACCACTGCCTCTCACGCTGCCTGGCTTGTTCCGTGTAACACCCAGTGACGCTGCTATGAGGCTTGGCGGATCAGGGGGGAGTTTGGAAACAAACGGGAAAAACCCTGGTTTTTTCACACCCAATTTTTTTGATTTTTTTTTCCAGGGCTTCCCATCTCCAGTTAGGTTTGGGGGAGAATGGGGGTTAGGGTTACCGTAGGCTTGGGAAACCTGGCTACGGCCTTGAGTGGATCAGATGGGGGAATCTGCCAAGCCTCATAGCTGCACCATTGGCAGGCGGAATGCAGCTCAGCCGAAAGTAGCGGAACAAGTGGGGAATATTACCCTTCACTTGCCCAGCCTCTTCCCTTTCATTTCCAAGCCAGACTGCTAGTGCATTCGGCCACCTGGACCTCTTCACAGCTCTGCCCACAGAGCCATCAAAGCGACAGGTGAAGTGCCAGAGGCTCAGGGAGGGAGGGTGCTGAAGCAAGTAGGCATTCTGCAGTCAGTGCCCATGCTGGCTGCCCCTTTCCCGCCAGAGCTGAAATGTCACATTTACCATAAGTGCCAGTAGATATTGGCCTTCCCTCTGGTGGGCCTGGGCAGCTGAGGGACAGAGATGGGCCCATTTCAGCATCTTGCCATCTGCTTTGCAGCTCCATCGCAGATCTCTGCTGCCGCAGAGCTGAAGAGCTTCCCACATCACCAACCAGATGCCCTCACTTCCCCCAGGAATTGCATGTCTTTGCTTACCTGACTTCCAGCCTTGTCCCGTTTCTCCTTTGCGCTCCTCTGCTGCTGCATGCAGGGAAACAAAAGAACTTTGTGGGGGGAAAATACGTAAATCAATCAATTCCAATTTTTTGCAAAAAAAAAAAATCTTGCGAAGTTAGAATTGATTGATTGATTGACCTCCCCCCCACTCCACCTGCCACTTTGGTCCTGGGCTGCCGCCTCTACCCTCACCTCTCAGGCAGGCCCGGCCAGGCCAGGAAGGCGACCTCTCTGGGTCCCCGGAGCAATGGTCACCTGCTCCAGCCAAAGGAATGTTGGCCTGGCCACCCCCACCTCAGTGCCCTTCCTGCTGCCGCCCAGCACGGCTGCCCTGGGGTGGCCTGGCATGGGAAGGGCATGCATCCTGCCCTGCCCTGCATGGCTGCACCGGTACTTGGTCCGCCACTACTGCCGCATTGGATCTCCACCTCATGTGCAGGCCCTATCCCATCTCCATGCACTCGTGGCTTGCTGGTATCGTTAAAAGTAAGCCCTACTCTGAAAGTAAGCCTTAGTGCTTATTTCAGAGCCCAAAAGAAAGTAAGACTGGGGAAACATGGTACTTGTCGGTAAGGCCCTGGAAGGTTCCTCTATGCATTGAATGATGAGGATTTCAGGTACTATGTTCACAAAGGATAATAATATAAGGAAAAAAGCTGACCTATTCAAAGTGATGACTGCATTGGCAGTCCCTTTTTTACCCATCAGGGCCTGGCCATCAATGATTTCAACAGTCAATAGTGTTTGAATGGCATAGGGCTTGAATATCTAGGCCTATCCAACATATTATAGCAGAAGGGCTGTGCTGTAGGTTTTCTCCATTAAATCTGCTATCATATGGAACCAAGGAGGCAAGCTTTCTCTGTTGTGGCCTTCTCTGGAAAAGCACCCCTCCTCAGTTTACATAGGTGCTCTCTCTCTTAGGGTTATGGAAAGTTTTGAAAATTGGGCTTCGATCCCAGACCTGAAGCTATTCTTATTTGCTTAAAGCCCCTGTTTTTCTTTTATGGATTTGTTAAAGCATTTAGTTAAGGTTACAGTTGATTTAAAGTCTTTAGGTTTATTTATGTCTTTTTTAGCTTAGTGCACTCTCCAGGGTCCACTGGAGGCAGCCTGCTGATAATTTTCAATAAACAAACAAATTCATAAATATTGAGAGATCTGTTGATTTTTCAGCAAACCAAGTCCTTATTGTAATCCTTTTTATTTTTCATGGGAGTATCTGTCTGTGCCACTTCCAAATATTATATGGATATTATAGCCTTAGAAAATGTTTTATCTATTGTTGCCATAACAATGATAGGGCCTGGGTATCTCCAACAAGATCATCTTCTTTGCTTTCTACAAACATGCTGAGTTGTTGGGCAGAACCCTTGATTTAGTTCTCTGGTGAGCTGGTTCAGGTTAGAATTTTTCTAGAGCAGTGGAAGTCAGAGCTTAGTGGAACAAGAGTTCATTCATCTGGGAGCTAAGGAGGATAATATTCGGATTAAACCGGGTATATTCCACAATGACTTGCTCCATCTTCATGATGGTGGAAAAGCTAGCAGTGTTTTCCTTCCTGTAGCCGTGCATATACACACAACATCTGAATTATTGCAATGCATATATTGATGAAAATATAGTCAACCAGAGCTGACTGCTTTCTATTTAAAGCTGTTATGTATTATCAGGTAGGAATTGTTAAGAATAATATCTGAATATAATGCAGCTTCTTCTATAACCTCAAATGATCATAGAGTAGATTCCTATATTATCATATGTTCTGAAAGTCCCACGCTAGCACAGTAAAACAGGTGTTCGGGACTCACTAATCCATAACCCTGTGGCTCTATGAAAAGCTATCCAGGCAGTTAACCTTTCTTGCCATTCAATAAAAGAGACAGTATTCCACCATCTAAACTTTGTTCAATGCTGCAAGATCCATTAAAACTAGAATAAAATAAACAATGGCATATGATTAGAACATGAATATATAATAACTAGCAGCCAAGCTCCATAAAGGAAACTGTTCTGTTCTGTGCGTTGGTAAGGCATTGAGACGAGGCAGATGAACAACAGATGCTTCTTTATTAAATCTCCAACAGAACCAAAAAAAATGGCGTGGTTTCCTTTATATACCCCTTTGCAGGGACAGTGTCAGCCAATCAATGCAACAGATTCTCCCGCCTTGCACGTGCACAATAGGCTGGAGACAGCCTATCTGGTCCTGGGCAACCATGTGATTGCCCGGGGCTCTCTGCAGTTTCCTGCACCTGCTGAGTCACTCAGCAGGCCCAGGACATAACACCCCTCCTCTCTTAGTTCAAAGCAAGTGAACACTTACTATTTTGCACTACTATAAATCTAACATTTGTTCTCTTGAGCGTGTTCTGATTTCTAAGTACCCTTAAGCCTGCCCACCTACTGACAGGAATCTTACATAGTCCTGTAAATGCTTGGGTGGACCTCTGGCCCGCTCTGGTCTTCTTGGAGTGGTTATGATTGCCTGGCCTGCAAGCTCGCCTGCCAGGCTTGGCAGAAAGGACTTTGATGCCCCCTAGATTCAGGCGACCCTCCATCATGCTGACTGGCTGGATCCTGAAAACCCAGACCAGAGTTCTTTGGTCGGGTAGAATTCCCCAAGTCCACAATGGACCCCTCTTGGGAATACTGTCCCGTGGGCCCAAGACCAGAAGACAGAGTGGCCTGAACAGCCAGTTGTGTGTAGTATTGCATGGACCCAGTGCCAGAGTCAGGAGCCATCTCGTTGGCAAAAAACCCTTCTCGTGTGTGTGCAATTCCAGTTTTGCAGAGAGTCTGAGATCCACGATTGTGATCGTGGTCCTCCTCCCCCCCAAGAGCAGAGTCAGGAGAAGAAGGGTGACTGGGAAGCCTTTAGCGTAGTTGTTCAATGTGCCGACGTAACACACGACCATCTTCCAAGGCCACTTTGTAAGACAGTGGCCCAATGAATTTGCAGACCATTGCTGTCACCCAGAGATGTCCAGGTCCATAGTTCCTTGACCAAACCGGATCACCCACCTATAGTCTCCTAGGTGCCCGCAGCTGTGACACCTGTGAAGCCACCAGGTCTGGGTGCAACCTGTACAGTTTAGTAATGAGACGGCGACCCCAGCGGAGTTTGCCTGGGCTCTTTCCAGTAGCTGTACAAGGTGTGGTGTGATGGCAAAGAAGAAAGTCAGCTAACCTGTGATGCCAGCTCCCGTGCATGAGCCTCTTCAAGGTGTCCTTGGTTGTGCGTTCAGCTTGGCCTTTGGAAGCTGGATGAAAGGATGCCGAAGTAGTATGGTGGATCAGGTTGGCCTGTAGAAAAGCCTTAAACTCAGAAGAAGTGAATTGAGGTCCGTTGTTGGAGACAAGGACATCTGGGAGCCCTTGGGAGGTGAAGATTCCTCTCAACACCTGGATGGTCCTGGCAGCAGTTGTGGTGGAGACTGGAGCAACCTCCAGCCACTTGGAATGGCTGTCCACAACAATCAGGAAGAATTGCCCTTGAAAGGGGCTAGCGTAGTCGATATGAACCCTCGACCAAGGGGCATGTGTCTCCTCCCACCTATGTACAGGAGCCTGAG